CAGCGATCTATGGGGGCCAGCCAGAACTCAGACTCATGGAGGAGGGAGATACTTCATGCCCATCATAGATGACTACACCAGGAAGGTATATGTTTTCAACCTTAAATCAAAGGATGAAGCCTTTCAGAGGTTCAGGGACTGGCTAACTGTCACAGAAAATAAGATGGAAACCAAGCTGAAGCACTTGAGAACTGACAATGGCTTAGAGTACCGTTCAGAGCAGTTTGAGGAGTTGTGCAGGAGGAATGACATCACAAGACACAAGACAGTCCGGAACACTCCTCAACAGAATGGCCTGGCTGAGAGGATGAACAGGACTCTCCTAGAGAGAGTGAGGTGCATGTTGCTAAATGCAGGTCAACCCAAAAGTTTTTGGGGTGAAGCCGTGTTAACTACCTGCTACATTATCAACAGATGCTCATCAACTGCTATCGATATGAAGACACCTTCGGAGATGTGGTACGGGAAACCAAGTAACTATGATAATCTCAAAGTTTTTGGATGTACTGCATATGCTCGTGTTAGACAGGATAAGCTGGAAGCAAGGGCTTTGAAGCTCATTTTCATTGGATACCCACCTGAAACCAAGGGCTACAAACTCTGGTGCCTAGATCAACAGAAAGACATCATCAGTAGAGATGTGACATTCAATGAGTCCAAAATGGCGAATCTGTATGGCCATGCTGCAAAAAACAATATCACCAAGAAAAATTCTTCAATTGAGGTGGAGCTGCAACAACAACGAACTTTGACAGATCAAAGGACTGTTGTGAACGATCTGGATGAAGTGGCAGAGGAGCAGCAAATGATTGAGCCAGAAAGAAGATCTGATGACTAAAACTTGGTAAGAGACAGACAAATAAGAACTATCATATCGCCAGAGAGATACGACCATGTAGATATGATCTCATATGCTTTAAGTGTTGCCGAAGAGATAGAATAAGCAAAACAGAGCAACTACAAGGAAGCCCTAAAGATCAAGGAAAGACTGAGGTGGGAAGAGGCAATGGATGAGGAAATGACTTCTTTGATGAAAAACAAAACCTGGGAACTTGTGGATTGACCAAAGAACAAACGAGTGGTTGGTGGCAAGTGGATCTTTAAGAAAAAGGAAGGCACGTCAGGTATTGAGAGGATCAGGTACAAAGCCAGACTCGTTGCAAAGGGATTCACTCAGGCAGAAGGAATCGACTTCAACGAAATCTTCTCGCCCCTCGTGAAGCACTGCTCCATTTGGATAGTCTTAGCACTAGCGGTTCAATTTAATTTGGAATTAGAGCAGCTGGATGTTAAGACTGCGTTCTTGCATGGAGAGCTTGAAGAAACCATCTACATGGATCGGTCAGATGGGTACTGCACACATGAGATAAAGAACAAAGTTTGCTCGCTGAAGAAAGCTTTGTATGGACTAAAACAAAGCCCTAAACAATGGTACAAACGATTTGATGAGTTCATGCTAAAGATCAAATTTGTCAGATGCAGCTACGACAGTTGCGTGTACATGAAGTGGCAAGACAGTGAAATAAGTACCTACTTGCTTCTTTATGTGGATGATATGTTAATAGCCAGCAAAAGTAGGGAGGAAATCCAGAAGATCAAAGGTATGCTCAATTCTGAATTTGACATGAAGGACCTAGGACCTGCTACAAAGATCCTAGGGATGGAGATTACTAGAGATAGGAAAAATGACACCTTATTCTTATCTCAAAAGTTATATATTCAGAGAAGTCATATATTCAGAAGGATATTCAGAAGGTTCTAGCAAGGTTCAACATGCATGAGGTTAAGCAAGTTGCAACACCTATTGGCCAACACTTCAGACTATCAAACTCTCATGCACCAGAGATTGAAGATGAGAAAAAGTACATGGAGGGTGTCCCTTATGCCAGCGGGGTTGGTAGCATCATGTATGGGATGATCTGCAGCGGACGGACCAGATTTGGCCTACGGGCCTACGTCGTCAGCATTGTAAGCAGGTTCATGGCAAACCCAGGACATGCTCATTAGGAAGCACTAAAATTAATCCTAAGGTACCTGAGAGGCACTACGACCTGAGTATACTCTTTAAAAGGCAGGAAAACAAAAAAGAAAAGGTAGTTGGTTACGTGGACTCCGATTATGCAGGAAGCATTGACACCAGGAAGTCACTGACCGAATTCATTTTCACTGTCTTCGGTACGGCAACCAGTTGGAAGTCTAACCTCCAATCCGTTGTTGCCCTCTCAACAACAGAGACCGAATACATTGCTGTTACTGAAGCAATCAAGGAAGCTATGTGGCTAAAGGGCATGACTGAGGAGCTCGGGATACATCAAAAGGTGATAACTGTGTTTTGCGACAAGCAAAACACCATTCATCTAACCAGAAATCAGGTATTTCATAAAAGATCCAAGCATATAGATATAAAACTTCATTTTGTGTGGGATGTCATCGCCAAGGGTTCAATAGTAATGAAGAAGATACCGACTGAAGAAAATCATATGCTCACCAAGGTGATACCGACAGCTAAGTCCAGACACTGTCTGGACTTAGTAAACTTCACCAAGGGCTGAGGGCCTCTCAGGGGTCAGGTGGAGGGAATCTTTACTTCGAAGTTTCTCAATTGAGGGTCAATGTGAAAAATTGTTATTTTGACCCCCAATTAACGAACTAAGATAAAATGACACTTTTGTAATGTGGTACCGCTCACCTACCACATCTCACCTATCGCTCACCTACCACCCACCTACCTCCACCTACCTCCCACCTACCA